TTGGGGCAAAGTTAAATTCTTTACTATACTATAATACTAGTGGGAAGTGGCTATGGCAAATGGTGTGATAATGGTTCAGAATGACCAGACCTTGGGAAACACAGCATGAGGCGTGGCTTGGCTGGCCGAGCCCAGAGCTGAATCCAGAGATGTAAGTAGCCAGTTTACTGTAGCCTCTGTCCTCTCAGGATAGGGACCGTGCCTCCTCTGTACTCATTTCTCCCTTGCTTAGAGAGCACCATGCCTATCACCAGGGCTGGAGCTAAGGAGAGGCAAATGGAGTGAAACAGGAGGGAAGGGGGCAGGGCACAACCTTTGAAAGAATGACATAGCCTGAGGACATGACATAAACTGATTAGAACCAAATGGGTCCAAGATGGCAGACAAGTCAACCGCACTAGACCTTGAGCCTCAGTATATGCTCACAGTAACACATCAGCAAGCTAAATGGCAACCCACAGGCGCTGTGACAGTTCCAAGACCCACCATAAGGATCAAAAAGTGGAGGTGGCCCAATTCCTGGAAATCCTCGCCCCTTTCTGAGATAGTTGGAATACCCCTCCCACTCATCAGCCTATGAAATTACCCACCCCTATGAAAGTGGCAGGGGAGTGGGGGGGGCGGTGGTGGTGGTGGGATGAATTGCGAGATTGGGATTGACATGTATACACTAATACGTTTAAAACGGATAACTAATAAGAACCTGCTGTATAAATAAATAAATAAAATAAAATTCAAAAAAGAAAAAAAAGAAATTACCCACCCTTATAAAAACTGACAACCCATACCTTGGTGCCTTTTCTCACCTTCTGAGATGGCCCACACTCTGTCTGTGGAGTGTGTTTCTCTCTAAATAAATCCACTTCTCACCTATCACTTTGTGTCTCACTGAACTCTTTCTGCGATGAGACATCAAGAGCCTGAGCTTCATTAAGTCCTGAAACCAGGTGTGTGATCTCAGTTGGAAGACCATGGGTTTTGGCCAGTTTCGAGTCCCGGCACATGGGTTCAAGTCCCAATGTGAAGGGTACAGTTTTAGGACCTAGGGTGCAAAATTTAAGGAGGTGCTCATTCTTGAGGTCTGACAAGTGCCCTAGGTGCCTCCCTTGCCTCACCTTTGATCCCAGCCTAGCTGGTCACAACAAAGAGGCTGAATTTGAAGCAGTTATTAATTACCTACTGTATGCAGGGTCTCATCCTGGGGGCCATGGTGGTGATATAGCTAGTTTTCCATTGTGCCTGAGCCACTCTCTTGGGTAGTCATAACCACCACAGGCAACTTGAGAGTAATATTAAAATGTCATGCAGGTTAATTGCTGCTGCTGAAGGATGAGACAAATGCATCCCAGCCAAGTTGCCACAGTTACCCCAGCCAAGCCATCCTAGACCAGCTGACAGCCAGCCAGCCTACCCCCAGACTTAAGGGCAAGCACAGTCAAGGTCAGCAGAGTCATTAATCCAGCACACATTCAATCACAAACTCTAAGTGAGCCCAGCAAAGATCTGAAGTGCCCAGCCGACCTGCAAATTCATGAGCTAAATAAATGCTTATTGTTTTAGCTCTTGAGTTTTGGGTTGGGTTTGTTACACACCATTACTTATTTATTTATTTATTTTATTTTTTGTGGTATGCGGGCCTCTCACTGTTGTGGCCTCTCCCACTGCGGAGCGCAGGCTCTGGACGCGCAGGCTCAGTCGCCATGGCTCACGGGCCTAGCCGCTCCGCGGCATGTGGGATCTTCCCAGACCGGGGCACGAACCCGTGTCCCCCTGCATTGGCAGGAGGACTCTTAACCACTGCGCCACCAGGGAAGCCCAACTGTTAACTTTTTGAGTCCTTAACTATCTTGCTACAATAATTTTTAATAGTTGAGCTTCATCATAAGGCTATCTAGTAATTTAATCAGTCCCTTGTGGATACATTTTCAATTTTTCTCTGTTATATTGTGTTATAAACACAGGGATGAAGATCCTTGCAGTTAATTTTTTGCAAATATCCATAATTTACTTAAGCTGAATTCTTGAAAGTGGCAGTTCTAGGTCAAAGGGTATATAATGTATGTTTCTAAGGTTCTTGATACATGTTGTAAAACTGCTCTCCTGAAAGGTACCAATTTGCCCTGCTGCCCACTGTGTTTACATTTTTTTAATCCATTAGGCTTTTTTGTTGTAAAATGTTTAGCTCCCTGTACTTCTTCTGGGGCCTGGGGAGAGATAGCAGGTGGGGAGCTCAGCTTTGGGGTTTTATGACACGCAAGGAGCTTCTCTAAGGGCTTTGTAGGAATTATGCCATTTACTTCTCTCTATAATTTTTAATTGATTAATTATTTTTGGCTGCGTTGGGTCTTTTGTTGCTGTGTGCAGGCTTTCTCTAGTTGCAGCAAGCGGGGCCTACTCTTCGTTGCAGTGCACGGGCTTCTCATTGCGACAGCTTCTCTTGCTGCAGAGCACCGCCTCTAGGCGTGCAGGTTTCAGTAGTTGTGTGGCATGTGGGCTCAGTAGTTGTGGCACACGGGCTTGGTTGCTCCGCGGCATGTGGGATCTTCCTGGACCAGGTACTGAACGGAGTTTTAACCACTGTGCCACCAGGGAAGTCCCTCTCTATAATTTTTAATGTCAGTACTATTATTACCCATCCCCCTTTTTTTCACTTTTTAAAAACTGTGGTAAATATATATATAAAACATAAAATTTGTCATTTTAGCCATTTTTAAGTGTACAATTCAGTGGTAATAATTATATTCACAATGTTGTGCAATCACCACCACTATTTCCAAATTTTTTTCATTGCCCCAAATAGAAACTCTGGACCCATTAAACAATAATTTTGCATTCTTTCCTCCCACCCTCTATTACCATATATATGTGACAAGGAAAATGGAGGCACAGAGAGGCTAAGTAAAATAATCAATGTTACACAGCTAGTTAGGCAAAGAAGCCCCAATCCAGACCTGGCAGTCTGGCTTTAGCCTCCTTCTGAATCGCTTGTCTTGCAGTTATATTTTTTATTCTTTTTGGTTGCCCTGTGCAGCATGCGGGATCTTAGTTCCCCAACCAGGGATTGAACCTGTGCCCCCTGCATTGGTAGCATAGAGTCTTAACCACTGGACCACCAGGGAAGTCCCTCATTTTTTATTTTAATTAAAAAAAAATTTTTTTTTGGCCACACCACACGGCATGTGGGATCTTAGTTCCCTGAGCAGGGATCAAACCCGCACCCCCTGCATTGGAAGCGCAGAGTCTTAACCACTGGACCGTCAGGGATGTCCCCAATTTTATTATTTTTTTTAAAGCCCAAAGTTTCTGCTTACAGGTTCTGGTAAGTCATTTCTTTCTCATTTTCCCCCAAAGGAGAAAAGGAATAGCTTTTCTGAAGAATCTTGAATTTTACTCCTAAGTTCCTAAACCCAGTTTCCTTCAAGCGAACTTTGAAGTTGTATCTGCTTGGGTGATAAGGGCAGGATTCAACTACACCAAAAGGACCAGTTTACCTGTCTTGCCCTGTGGGGCCTGGTGAGAGCTGGAGCCGCAGGGGGTTCCTGCTTTCTAGAGCCACCAAACTCTTCCCCGATGAGATCCCTAATCCTGGGAGCCCTCCTCAAATGGGCAAAGATTATGCCCAGCCACCAGAGCTGATGAATGGGATTCTCTCTCCTTCCTCTCCTAAAGGAATGGCACTGAAAAAAAACATGGCCTTTGGAGTTGCATGAGCCTGGACTTGAACCACAGTCTTGGACAAGTTCTTGTCCCAAATCTGTTTGCCAAACTGAAAAGGTGAATGAAACCACCTACCCGTCAGGGTTGTTGGGAAGAGCAAATGGCAGCCTAGCACAGGCAGGGCCTCAATGAATGTTAGCCAAGGCTTAGCAGCTCAGTGCCTGCTCCTTGTTCAAACCTTTACACAGCACCCTGGTGGGGACCAACAATATTGGCTAGTGCTGCTGCTTCTCTGCTGGCTTGGAAACTGATTCAGGGACTCTCTCTAAATCCTGATGTATCCCTTGGGCTGGCTGTGCCAATGTTCACACGACTCTTAAAGGAGCATTCCAGCTCCACCACTTCTTGGCTATACAATCTGGGGCAGTTGGACCCATCTCTGCCTCTGTTCCCTCATCTGAAAAGTACAGAATTGGGTTCCCCATGTCATTGGATTGTTGGATTAAATGGATTAAGATATGTAATGCATTTAGTGCCTGACATACAGTAGAAGCATTTGCTATTACTGTCATCCCCAGTGTCACCTTCCTTTGTTTCTTCACCAAATGCTGCCTTACACCTGGGAAATGGAGACGGCACACATAAAAGCAATCCATTGGTCCTGGCATTCTATTATTCTCCTTGTAGAAGTCTTGGATAAATGAGGTAGTCTCCCTACTCTCCCTTCCAGTGAGGGGGGTGGATTAGAGCAGATCTTCTTGCTTCACATTCCTCCACTGTCATCAGGCTAGGCTCCCTGACTCCCAACCCATCCTTTGCTTCTTTCAGTAAAACCCATTCCAACTGGGGAATTAGAATTAATCTCTTTCTAAATTAAAGGCTGAGCAGGGAGCCATGGCAGGCTGTGATGGGCAGAGGCTGTGCAGGTGCTGCTCCGGGAAGGCAGCCCTCGGGCCTCCTGAGGGCTCCACTCATAAGAAGTTTCCAGGAACCTCCTGGGCCACTTCTAACCGCTAGATGGCCAAGCTACAGGGTGATTATTTCCTTAGGCAAGCAAACACTTCAGCCCTCTAATATGGTATTTCCTGGGGCTGGAATATCAACAGGAAGTCCTGTGGGGAAGAGCTCTGCCAAAACACTCATTCCAAGGAAGGGATTGGTAAACTGACAAATTTGCCCAGCCCTGTACAACATTCTGCAACCTCCACACGCAGGCTCTGCTGCAGGCTTCATCCACAGGCAGATCGCTGCTGTCTCTAGTCTTCTCTGGATTCCTGAGCCAGGGAGACTTATAGATGTGACCCTATGTGAGAGACCCAGACAGAAATTTGCACTTAAAGAGCAGTTAGGCCATTTATTGGCATTAGGAGAGCATTCCTTTAAACAAGAGAAAGGACTCTGAACACTAAAATCTCATCCACTTTATGAAAACTTGAGACCAAACTCTCCAACATCTGTACACAGCTTAATCACGAACAAGCGCAAGAATTCGGGTTAAATACAAATTAAACTAAACTGTCCTGCTACAAAGAAATGAAAGGAAAGCTGGGGACGGGGGTAGCCCCCACCCCCCCAGCCAAAAGTCATTGCTTTCACACTACAATGTTTCAGGTACAAGAATGTAACAATTCCCCAGGGCAGCGCAAAACCGCTTCCCATTGTCTCTTAAGGCAGTCATTTAATTACCAATTATCCAAAGGCCAAGAAAATTTTGTGGAAAAAGGGCGTACCCTTTGGCTCTGTGAGGGCCTGTAGCTGAGGAGCCAAGTTCTTGGCTGACACACTCTTGGGGAGGGCGCCTTCACAGAATCTCAGGCATCAAGGTCTCAGCTTCCCCATCAATAAAATGCAGTCCTGGCGAGGGAAGACCCGCTAGGCTTCCAGATCGAAGTCATCACGCTCCTCATTGTACTCCAGCACGTGCCGCTTGATCTTGGACGAGTCAACCCAGGTGACGAAGTCCTCCATGCTGCGCGTGACAAGGAAGGCGGGGTCGGTGACCACGTCGGGGCCCACGCGCACATGACCCTGCTCCACGAATGCCACGGCGGCCTGGAGGTGCTGTGCCATGCGCAGCTTAAGGAGCACGGTGGGCAGGCGGCGGCGGCAGAAGGACGAGGCCGTGACGAAATCGCAGAGCTCCAGAGACCCGCGCGTGGGGATTAGGCCGAGAGCATACAGTTTGTCCAGCAGCGCGGCCGAGGAGCGCACGCGAAACGGGTCGCGCTCCGGCAGGTCCCGCAGGCGCCGCGCCAGCTCGCGCACAGCACGGCTCAGCTGGTTGTAGCGCGTGTAGTCCTCGCGCCGTTGCAGCCGATAACGCCGCAACACGCGCAGCTCGTGCAAGTTGTGATCGGTGACCTCCCAGTTCAGGAAGTCCACCTGCTTCAGTAGCTTCTGCTCGTGGAACTTAAGCTTCCGCACCATAACGGCGGCTTGGAGGCTGCAGGACCCGTGGCTCAGCGCGCGTTCAGGCGCCCGCGCGACTTCCGCCTCAGTACTGCTAGACCGGGCCTGGGGACCCTGGGCCAATAAAAGAAAGGCTCAGTGCTAAGCCCTCTGTTTCCACTGGTCGGGGTGGGGCCACGCCCCGCGTCTGTATCTCGCGATTCTTCTCTTCTTCGCGTTCTCTGAAGGAGGCGGGGAAAGAGCGCTGGTAGACACCTGGGACGGGAGGGGAGGCCCTAAAGACGAGTCTGCGCGGTTTTAAGTCGCCTAGAATTAATCACCTAGTGCCGTAATTATTTCCTCTCGTTTAGATTTCTGCCATTCAGGGCCTCTCTGAAAGTGGCTTAAGAGGCCAGTTCCGGGGAAGGGGGGTGACTGTCGCGCTAGTTTGGTTGAATTTACTGTGCTGACCGTGGAGGGGGGCGGTCCTCCCACCTCGTGGTGGGCTTCCCCGAGCCGGCCGGGGCTGATCGGGTATGCCCACCGCCCACTAGCGCCAGGTCCATTAGCAGGCGGGCGGAACGGTTTCTCCCTGCCAAGTGGGGCTAGGCGCCACCGAACCTATGAAATACCGATTCCCAGGCTGCTTCCTACACCCACAGAATCGGGATCTACACCGGAGTCACCTGGAAATCTGTATTGTTAACAAGAATGCCAGGTGATTCATAAAACCCAGTAAGTTTGAAAAGCTTGAATAGTACAAGTGCTCACCCTTTAATCCGGGCTCAAACGAATTAGCTTGACAGGGTGCATTTCTGGTGCCGATTATTTAGTTAACTTAACACTTTTTCTGCTAGTTATATCTGCTTTAGCTTAGTGTAGCGCTACAGGACTAACTTCTTTATTTGCCCAAGACTTTGACGCCACCTAGCTTCTTCGCCTATCATTTTGTTTTATTTTTGTACGCTTCTCATTGTTTTTTTTTTAAATATAATATTTGATATATGGAATATACTGTATGTAAGTTACAAAGTATAATGAATACTTGTGGACCCAAGAGCCAGTTTAAGAAAGCATCACCAGGACCACTTCATCTACATATTCCAGCCACTCCCCCAGTGAGAGGTAAAGGTATCTACTCTCCTGAATTTAGTGTTTATTTTTACCTTTTGTTTAAAAAGAAAAATTTTTTTAATTTAAAAAAATTTAAAAAGGAAAATAGTTTTATCATTGTAAATGCATCCCTAAATACTGAGAACCTTCTTACTCAAAGTGTAGTCCATGGATCAGCAGAGAGCTGTTGGAAATGCAGAATTTCAGGCCCCATTTCTGACCTACAGAATCAGAATCTGCATTTAACCAGACCCCCAGGTAATTTGTATGCACACTGACATTTGAGAAGTGTTGCTTAGAAGACATCACATCATGTGGAGTATTTTATCTGTAGCCGCAGTTTTTTTTTTTAACTGTTGCATTATATTCCATTGTTTGGTTCTATCTAATTTATTAATCCATCTCCCGTTGGATTTTTTTGGAGGGAATATTTTTAGCAGTGCTACTATTAAAATTCTTGTAGGTTTCCCGTTGCACATATGTAGTAGCTTCTGTTGAATAGTATGCATGTATGTTGAAGTTGAATTGCTCAGTTGTAAAGTATGCATGTAAAGTATGCATGAACATGTGAAGTATGCATGAACATGTAAAGTGCATGTTGAGCTTTACTAGATATTGCCAAATTGTTTTCCAAAGGGGCTGTACCAGTTTATATTCCTTTGACAGTGCATGGGAGTTCCCTTTGCTCCTCATTCTTGACAACACTTGGTTGTTAGATTTTTAAAATATTTGCCAGTCTGATGAGTGTGTGATGGTATTTAACTGTGATTTTAATTTGCATTTCCTGATGAATACAGGTTTCATATGTGTTTCCTCTTCTATGGAATGCGTCTTTGTGTCTTTTGTGTATTTTTCTATTGGATTATGGGGTAAGTAGAATAATGGCCCCCCCAAAGATGTTCACCCAGAACCTGTGAATGTTACCTTACATGAAAAAAGGGATTTTGCAGATGTGATTAAATTAAGGATCTTGAGACCATGACATTGTCCTAGATTAACTGGGTGAGTCTCATGTAATCACAAGTGTCCTTATAAGTGAAAAAGGGAGGCAGAAGAGTCAGGGAGATGTGATGATACATACAGAAGTCTGAGATGTGATTGCTGGCTTTGAAGATGAATGGGGGCCATGAGCAAAGGAGTGTGGGCAACCTCTAGAAGGTGGAAAAGGCAAGGAAATGGAATTTTACTTAGAGCCTCCAGAAGGAACACAGCCCTTGCTGACACCTTGATTTGAGCCCAGTGAGATCCAGTTTGGATTTCTGGTCTCCAGTACTGTAAGATAATAAATTTGTGTTGTTTTAAGCCACTACATTTGTGGTAATTTGTTACAGCTGCAATAGGAAACTAATACAGATTGTTTGCTTTTTTCTAATTGATTTGAAGGTGTACTTTGTATGTTCTGGATATTAATCCTTAATCAGTTATCTGTGATGCAAATACCTTTTCCCAGTTTGCACTTTATCCCCACCCTTCATATTCCCCCAGCCTCACTCCCGTCTATCTTCAGCCCTTGCTCAATGTGTCTGCAGGAGGACTCTTGGTTAACTTCCTTCTCCCCAGACAATAAACATAATAAATAAGTAAACTATATATGTTAGCAGTTGATAAGTGTCATGAAACAAAACTGAGCAGGATATAGGAGAGCTTGGGATGAGGATGGGCTGTAATTTTAAGCAGGGCATGTCAGGGTAGGTCTTACTGAGAAGGTGATATTTCATAGGGGCTTAGCCATGTGGATATCTAGGAGAAGAACATTTCAGGAAGAGGAAACAGTGAGTGCAAATGCCTTAAGACAGGAATGTGCCTGGCATATCAGAAGGAGAATAACGAAGCCATCTTGGTTGGAGCAGAGTGCTCTAGGGGGTGAGGAAAGGGGGCTCAGATAACAGAGGCTCCATAGGCTCTTTTAAGGACTTTTGTTTTTAGGTTAAGTGAGATGAGGACACTGAAGGGTCTTGAGCCGAGAATTGACATCTAACATGTTTTAAAAGGATCACTCTGACTGCTGTGCTGAGAATAGACATATTCTCAGGAGGCAGGGCTGGAAACATAGAGGCCATTAGGAAGCTGTTGTGGTGGTGCACGCAAGAAAGGTGGTAGCTGGGACCAGGAAAGCAGTTGTGAGATGCCAATGAGAGAGGAGTCCCAGAATAAGGAGAGGGTCAAAGGATGGCTCCAGTTTTGGACCTAAGCAAGTGGAAGAAAGTACTCATCACCTGAGATGGGGAAGGCTGCCAAATAGGACAGATTTGGGGGGCAAGATTAGAAATTCAATTTTGGACATGTTGGGTTAGAGATGTCTATTAGACATTCAAAGGGAGATGTCAAGGAGAAAGATATGTGAGTCTGGTATTTTATTTTTTATTTTTACTTTTTTATTTTTGGCCAAACCTTGCGGCATGCAGGATCTTAGTTCCCTGACTGAACCCGTGCCCCCTGCAATGGAAGTGCGGAGTCCTAACCACTGGACCACCAGGGAATTCCCTGAGTCTGGTATTTTAGAGAAAGTCCTGGGCTGGTGATTTAAAATTGGGGGTATTATTGGTAGAAAGATGGTGTTGGATGCCATGAGCCTGGGTGAGATCGTCAAAGAAGTGAATATAGAGAGAAAAAGACAAGAGGACCACTCAACTAATAGTCACTCTAGTGTTAAGAATTATTGGAGAGGGGCTGCCCTGGTGGCGCAGTGGTTAAGAATCCGCCTGCCAATGCAGGGGACAGGGGTTCGAGCCCTGGTCTGCGAAGACCCAAAAAGCATCCAATAAATAAATCTTAAAAAAAGAAAAGAATTATTGGAGAGAAGCGGATGAACCAGTGTAGTAGAAGGGAAACCGGGAGAGTATGGTCTCCCCAGTGCAAGTGAAGACAGTGTATCCAGGGGGAAGTGATCAACCTGGTCAAATGCTACTGAGAGGCTAAGAGGAGGGCTGAGAATAGCCATTAGGTCACTGATGACTTTGATAAGCATAGTTTCAGTGGAGTGTGAGGGTGCAAGAATGGCTAGAGGGGTTTAAGAAGAGAAAGGGAGGAAAGATGTTTCAGGCAGCTAGTAGAGATGGCTATTTGGAGGAATTTGCTGCAAAGGTGAGCACATAAATGGGGAAATAGCTGGTGGGGAAAGTGGAGTTGAGAATCTATGTTCTAAAGATGTGGGTTGACTTTTCCCTCAATACCTACATCTTGTTGGTTGTCATTCCAGTCTGTTCTACCCCCATAGAATCTCAAATTTACTTCTCCCCAGCCCATTACCCCTGCCCTACCTCAGGCCCTCATCATCTCTCGTCTGCATCACTACAGTAATAGTCCAGTGTGTCCACCACGCTGCCACAAGTGGAGTCAGCCTGGAAACCACTGGCCACAGTTCTCCCTTGCTGATTCCTTTCCTAAAGGAGGAAAGTTAGCTATCTGGATGGGGGATGGATGCTGTTTCCTGTGCCCAAATTAGGGTCCCATCAGGAAAGAGAGAACACACTCCGATTAGAGTAATGTGAGGAGAATTTAATAAAGGGACTTTTTCCAAAGGCATGGGCAGGGTGTAGGCAACCACAAAGGTTAGTGCAGTTGCCTGAGATTAGTAACTGCGGGCCCTGTTACCCAGAGGTTTGAAGAGGGTTGGAAATAGAAGATATAGGTTCTGGAAATCTCTGTGAAGCTGCAGAATGAGTTTCCCCCAAGAACCTAGAAATAAGGTGGCCACTGTGAGATAGAAACCACCCTCCCTCCGCCCCTGAACAGATATGAGAGTAAATCCAAGGTGTAAATGTGCATAAATATGTGACTGAAGTATTTGGGAACCAACTAAAGACCACCAGCGTGGTGGCTGGGGGCCCCTTAGTGGGGTGGGGCTACACTAGGCCCCTAGCTGGGTGAGCAGAGATCCCATCAATTGTATTACGTGAGCTAATAAAGGTAAAATGTTTACAGGAGTCTAGCACTCAGCAAGCACTAAGGAAGTAGCTGCTACT